AACGAAACTACTTGAACCCAGCCTCGCATCAAATTTAACGGATTGGGCATCAGGACTCCTTCCGACCTAACTATAATATCCCTTATATCGATTAGTCTTTTATCAAAGCAAATAACCAATGCCCATACTAATTATGGAAGGTATATGCGCCTATAGTAGCTCGCAGCATTGAAACAATTTTATTAACCTTGCACCTCATTCGCTTAATCAAATCAACAAATCCTGTCACACATCCTCCGAAACTGCGAATTTTACATGTCACTTACATTCTAAATAACTTTAACAATGAAGCATCGTGTTTCCTAAAATTTTAGGGAAAGATTTAATTGTATGTCCATTCACCGATTTATGCCTCTACATTATTTTTACTTTTGTACTTTTTTATAATTATATTTAATGATTTTTATTCATATTTTCTTATTTTTTTATATATTTTTTGATTTTCATCATAAAGTTTTATTTTTAAATAATTATACCTTTTATATAATTGTTCTTAATTCAAAAAAAATTTCAAATTTTTTTATAGAAAATCATATAAAAAATAAATTTGAAAAAAAGATAAATTAGTCAATAAAATTGCTTAATAAAATGTCGCATAAGTGTCACATGATAAAGTATCGAGTTCTCAAATGACTGAAAGATTAAGTGGCGTTGTGATAAAGTGTCGCATGTTGTGTCGCATGATTAAAGTGTGGCGTGATTAAAGCGTCGCATGATAAAGTGTCGCTAGCAAAATGGAATCTCAAATATTTTCCTCTTCTTGATTTATTTTGAACTTTTCTTTTTTGCTAAGCCTGAAAATTTTGGTTATAGATGATACAAAGGCTTGGACATCTATCAGTGAAATCTCGAGGCTTGGGGAATACTTTTCTAGTTAAAATATTGAGTTATTCTTTTTTAAAAATCGGCTCAAATCAAGCGGTTTAACAACACTACCTATAAGAAGCATTTCCAATAGGGGAAAAGCAAGTCCAAACTATCTATAAATAAAAATTATGTGCTACTTTATAAAGAAATCACTTTATAAAACTGATCAATATAGACAGGTAGAATAAATAATGGCATCATAATCTTACACAAAAATAGGTTAAAAAAATCTTTATTAAATAAAGCACTTAGTAAAAACTGGTCAATAATGATAGGGAGGGATCTCACAACATTATACCTTTTATTATAAAAAATATGAAAATCCTAAATGCAAAAATTAAATATCTTAAATTAAAAAAAAAAAATTTATTAGAAATACTCAAAATTTATTAAAATTTAACCATTTTGAAAAAAAATCTTAAAAAATAAAGTTAGGACACTTATGGGATTAAAAAGGAACACTTTTCCTTTCAAAATGTCCCTTTCATTTTGAAAAAAGAGACTATGTTTTTGAAAAATGACACTATGATATTGCAAAAAGCCAATGTGTTAGCAAAAGATCATAATATGTTAGGGACACTATATGACTAAAAAAGTTATATATGATGTTTAATATTATAAATAAAACTCCGTACGAAATTTACAGTAATTATTTTCTACAATTTCTACATAAAAACATATTTTTGAGCATAAAATTTTAATAAGTTCCCGTATAGCAAATTTTTAGTGTATATATTTAGTTTTTTTATGAATAGGATTGGATTCATGTGCCCCATGGTTCGCTGTACCCCATCCTCCCCTCTACAGTTGTTTGTTATATGATTACTTTAAGCAATCATTTAAAAATTAAGTAATGCAATAAATCAAATCGGGTTTATTCTATATTCCCATGAATGATTTATTATAGGTCCTATAATACAACTGGTGTAAACCCATATATATATAAATATATATTTTTTTAAATTAACTAAATATGATATTATGATTAATTTCCAAAGTTTAAGTTTATACTCCTAGTTATAAATTAACATAATTTGAATATGTATTATTAATTTATTGTATTTGAGGAGGGGGTGGGGTCATAAAACAATATTTATAACAATTTGAACCCTTTCTTTTATTACCCAGTTCACTTGCACCCAAAGCCCTTGAATTTTATAAAAATATTATATGAAGGATTAATTACCGGCGATCCTCATAAAATCTTGTTGCAAAAGCTCTCAAATAACATTTTTCCATCTAGGGGGAAAATAATCCCTGGAAAACACAGCTAATATATAGCTGTAACAAAAACTCAAGGGAAATATTTCCTATAATAAAACAAAAACACTTCGAACCTGGATAAAGAATCCTCCAAAAAAATCAATAAAAAAACTCAAAATTTAAAAAAAGAAAATTCATGGAAATCCCTTGAAAATTATAGAAATGATTAAGTCATATTGTTAAAAAAATTGAAGCCACATTTTTAATATTTATCTTTTAAAAAGCGGATTATTAAAAATTTTAAAAATAATATTAAATTATGTTCAAGGAAAATTATAAAAGGTGAAAAGTAGATTACATTTATTATAGTGAGTGAGTGAAAAAATAAAATCTAAAATGCTATTGAAAGTGCACTTTAAATCATTTGCTAAACATCGACAAAATTTATCAGATTTGCTAAACAACGATCAAATTTTGTCAAAATTAATAAGATTTACTTCATTTTTAATATATAAGTTAGTGTCAATGGGTTTTTTCCGGCAATGTGTTATAATTTCAACTTACATTTTTTAAAATTTAAAAATCGGATTTTACCAGAAATGTATTATATCATGTTTGGAATACCTACCCTATGAATTTCAGACAATTTTTTCATTAACTTTTTAACTTAATATAATTTTTATTCGATTATTCATATATTTTTTATATAAATTATAAATGACTCAAAGGTTAACACCGAAATTGTCTACAATAAGATAGATAGGGGAAATATGCCATAAATGGCCATGTTTGAAGAATGGCCACCACCCCTTAAACCTTTTATCTAAAAATGTGTATATTTATGATATGTAAACCTTACCTAAGTTCATTTTTTGAATAGAACTACTCAATAAAAAAATATTTTAAATTAACTGTTTTTAGTACCTCTTTCTGGAAAAATCACGTTACACATTTTTTTGTTTGATGAAAAAATTACTAAATTAGACTACTGATATTTTATATAAATATTATTCTTAGGCATTTAGCAATATTCATACAAAAAATTAGACTTTAAAAGTTTTATATAATAGACATATAAAGGCGTTTATAATGAATGAGAGGTGAGTATTGTCTGGCCATGTATTGATTGGCAACAATTCGCACATTCACATATTCATATTGAAATGAAAAGCTCGTGCAAAACAACATATGGTGAAATTTCAAATGATGAACAAACTTAAAAATGTTTAGCAAAAAAAAAATTATGATATTAATATATAATATTATCATTAAATTGATGTTGATAAATTGAGATATTAACACTAATGAAATTATTGTATAATTAATTTTTTATATAACTAAAAAAAATGTAGAAAATATTAACATAGGTTTTTTACAAGTATAATAAAATTCTAATATATTATGGCCAGTTGAATACATAGTATGTATTGACTGGCCAGAAAAACAACTTTCATCCTTATCTAGCTCATAATAATAGATAGAGCTTTGATGCAAATTTTATTTTAAAAATTAATAATTAGGCTACACATTGATATAAACATGTTTGGGTAAACCCAAATTTTAATACCTTTTTTTCAAAAAAGCAAAAACATGTCATTCATGGCACATTCCCCTATTCCAAACATGATAGAATATATTTCTGGTAAAACCCGATTTATTAAAACGAGCTCAAAAATTGTAAAAAAACACATTGCCGGAAGACGCTAACATATATTTGCCAGAATAAAGTGGTCGAGTCCGATTAATTATAAATCATCCTAGCGTCTACATGACAGGATTTTCACTGGATGCAAACCCCCTTAAAAACCTTTGCCTAAAAAAATTCCACCATCCCCGGCGTCAGTGTCTTTTTATTATTCTATTGATACTCTTTTCAGAGAATTTATAAGGTCAACTTAAGTTAATCAATCTCTACCACCAACTATCGATATTTTGTGAATATAAAGATTTTATTTTTTAGATAATAAATTCAATTAAAACCTCCATTATTTACAATGAATTAATTACTATGGCATTATGAGCTTGCTGATAAGAAAGTATTATTTGGAAAACAATGTGTATGATTGTTTTCAATATATAGATTTGGTCGATAATTGTATTATATTAACTCTATAATAAAAGTATTAATTTTTACAGCAATAAATTGTGTCCTATTTCATCTCAAAATTTAATAGATAACCCCCCAAAAAATTTATCCTACCCCCATTAAAGCAGTCTACCCCCTACCCACCCAAAAAAAGGATGCAAACTGTTCCTACCCCTCCCGCTTATGTAGACGCTGCATCATCCCAAGTACGAACCACTAAGTTGGCTTAAGTTAAAAACAAGCCCTTGCTGGATTCGATCCCACGTATAACGGATTCGTGTTCAACGCACTAACTAACTAGGTCACAGACTGTATACGGAAACATCAATCTTTTCATATATAATAAATATCAACCATCTAAAATGCTACCATTAAAAGAGAGAATTAATTATTTACCAATATTTTAGTTGAAATGTACAATTTTTTTTATGTTTGCACAGTTTTTTAATGAGATTGCACATATTTGATAAGCAAAATTCGATACGAGTTTTTTTGAAAGCCGCAATTTAAAACTGTTATTTATTTCTCCAATGTTTTATTCAAAATTGCTAGTATTTCCATCAATATTTTTCTAATTTGTAATATTAAAAAATCCTAGAACTTGGATGAAAACTATCTAGTTATCAAATAAAAAAAACTCTGAGTGTTCGTCTTAGAATATATATACCTCGACTATCTTTGCTCCTCAGTCTCCTCTATTCTATTAATTTTATATATTTTTCATTATAAAGATGTTTTAACTGTTTTATCAATCATCTCTAGATTTGTGGCTTAAGTCATCTGGGTGGGGAGGGACTTCCTTTTTTTTTCTTTTGTTCTTAAAATTTTACTATTTAATTTCCAGGAGGATCGCTATGATAATCAACTAAAAAGAAGTTTTTCGAATAAAAAGTTATCGGGATTTTTGTACAAACGTAAAAGTCTCATTGATTCACCGATTATTGAAAGAGAATTGGACTCTACAAGGCCATCATATGAATTCCATCTATGCTACAACTACCCCAAAATTCTTAGATATCCTTGGTCTAGAACTATTACTATGAAAGGTGATAAATGTTAAATTTTTTACTCTGGTATTATATTATTGGTATTTAAGAATATTGGGAAAAAGAGCATCGCTTCCAGATCCTTATTATACAAAAATTACCGTATTAGCCCCATAATATAATTCCCGGAAGGAAATCCCTCTCAAAATATATCATCCTGGAAAAAGCACCTACGAAATGAAAAAAAAATACAATCATGCACTCACCTCAAATTAAATATTTTTCAAAAAATTAGTGTGCGAATCTAGTCGCTAATAATATATTACCTTATTTTATATATTTTAAACAACACTTATTATCAATAATAAAATAATAATAACTAAAAATGGTTGTCGTTCTTTTGAGTGTATATTATTTTTTTTAAATATTAGTAAGGGATTGGTTGTTTTTATGATTGATTAATTTTTATTTTTACTAAATATATATTTAAAAAAGAATTTTTTTAAAGTAATTATTTTTAGAAAAGGTTGTAAAAGATATCTTTTGATTGAACCGGTATTTATTAAATAAAAATATTATCACTTCCAAGTTTTAGACATATTTTATTTATAAATATTTAATATATTTATAATTGACTAGAACGAACAAATTATTTCTACTATCGGGTCAATTACTTGACAAATTGTGTTGATCCCAGATCCACTCACACCTAAAAAGTGGAAAGACATGACGGGATCTAAAGGTAATATAAAAGACATGGGGATCATGATATTATTCATGATCATGAATATCTTCTTGAATATTATTTTCGAAACAATCGATTATTAAATTGTTAAATATATACAATATTTCATTCCTTCACATATTATTTTCTATATTTATCTAATTTTATTATTTATAAATAGAATTTAAAATAAAGGTCATATTTAGAAAAAAAATATTTTAAAAAATCCTAAATAATTTTTAAATTAAATGCTTCAAAAAAGATATATTTAAATTGAAAAAATAAACATAAAAAAATAATATACCTCCCGAAAGAAGCGACATCCCAAAAATGAATGTAAAATTATTATATTTATATCATATTTTGTATACTTCACCTCAAATTCGCGCTAACTGTGAACGCAGGGTTAAGAAGAAAAAAACTCCTAGGCAAATTATTTCTTCTGAGAAATACATTTTCGATTTTAAAAAAAAATCTGAGAAAATCAGTAACAAAAATTAAAATCTTTCGGTTCAACATCCATTTACATAAAAAGGAACGTGTTCAAATTTGTAAATGCATTCATCAGATCTGTACTATCTTACAGAGTTGTTAACACTCCTTTTTAAAAGTAGCTAGCTCCTGCTTCCGCTCCTACCTACTCAAAAGGAGCTAGCTCCCTCTACTACATTTTTAAAAGGAGCTAGCTCCCGCTCCAAGTAATGGAGCGCCACTCCAAGTAATAAAGCACCACTCCATAACCGCTCCTTTGATTTTCATTTTTTTAGAAGGTACAAGAAACAAAATCATATTTTTTATCAAAAGGTTTTATTTATATTAAATAGAATCTAACAAACATTCACGCCTCTCCCCTATGATCTGTTTTGCAATACTAAATAAGCGCTCCACAGGAGCACTAGAGGGAAGCGGGTATTGCATTTTATTAAGATATTTTTTAATTCACGTATAAAAAAGAAGGTTGAACAAGTAATGAGAATATTAAAATAAATATTAAAATATATTTAAAAAAGCATCATATCTAACAACCCAGGCTCAACTATAATGAATTGCCCAAAAATAATTATAACCATTTAAAAAAAAATTATTCCAAAATAAAAAAAATATAGTTATCATTTTGTATTTAAAAGAAATGTTATTTACTTCTAAATGCTTTTTTAGATTGAAGCTGCTCACTTTTGGAAGTGAATTACTTTTATTTAAAAGGCATTTTGTCCTTAAATTTGTTTGTTCATTTGGATCAACATCTTTTAGAAGTTTAAAATATTTTTTGTATGATGGAAATGGAAATTCGATTTCTTCTTCTATGATATCTAAATCCATAATATCTAAAACTATTTTTTATTATATATCTATAAAATGAATATTAATATGACTTACAAGATTCCAAAAAATTTTCAATATAAAAATGAAAAACTTGATATTTAATATTTAAAATGATTAGATGAAAAACCAATATGAAACTCGGCTCAACATTTATTAATGGATAAATTTAAATAAAATAAAATTTCGTTTTTATTGAATTTTAATTAAAAACATTATTAATATTTAAAAATAATTTAATTTATGCCTTAATTTAAAGGAGCGTAGCCCCAAAAGGAGCTAGCTCCCGCTCTTCATTTTTAATAAGGGCGTTCCTGTATTTCCGCTCCTTTAATGTTATTCGTTGGGCACAATATTTTTATTTTTTATATAGAAAATAGTGTATAAAATTATAAAACGATAAAATATGATTTTAAATTATCTATAAATGTTTAATAATCTTTTTACATTATTTTCGCATGATAAGGTAGAGAGCTTCCTAGTTACAACATATTTTATAACTCTAAAAACACGTTCTTTTAATGATTAAGAATTTTATTTCAGAAAATTATAAACATTTAATTTTTTCATCGTTTCTTGTCATTGAAGCTTCTTAATTCTATTTTTCTACCGATCTCTTTATATAGCTTTTTTTTTACCATTTCGTTTTGTTAAACCTTCATCCAAAGTAATTCGAGTATGATAACCTGATGCATATAATAATAAAATTAATGATAAAATAACCATTTCAAATAAGGGAAGAAGTAAACGGTAGTCAAAAATGAGCATACTGGTAAATATCTTTAGGTAATAGTTGACAAATTATAAATTTTTTAACAAATGAGCGTTATAAAATACATTCACATTCAAAATTCGTAAAATAATAAGAACACTGTTAATTTATGTTTCTTTTTAAATTATGACCTGTTCAATGTGAACATATTCGTTACAATTACAACATTATTATTTATACAGTTATAGTATATTATAGAATAATATAAATAATTTGAAATAAATGACTGAATTAAGTAATATTAAGCAATATTTGTAATTTATGACTGAATTAAGTAGTATTAAAATTTATGTAATATAATTTTTTTTAAATTACGATTTGCTTTTTACTTTTAAGAAGCAAAATTTGACAGTCCTTAAAATAGTATAATTTGCTGCCCCAGGCAACTTCCTCGCCTTATTACACGTTCGTGCGGACTTGATATTATCAATATTTATTAAATTTTGCATTTTTATTTCTATATAACTAAAAATGGTTATATAAACATAAAAAAGTAAAAAAATAATGATATTACAAACATAATTTGGTATTTCGAAAAATTAATAAATTTAAATAAAAATAGAAAATTATTGAATAAGTTAGACCAGCATCAGGTATAATTGGTATAATTCCCATAATCAGAGTATCCGTATCAGTAAAACTGGTATCGGTGCTAGAACTTACAAATCGCCCGCGGGCCTTAATTTTTCAAAATTTTTTAGCTGGAAACGGGTTATTATTTTTTAAATTAAGCCGGATTCGGTAAAAAATTCTAAAAAATAACAAAAAATAATTTTTTCTCATGTTTTATTAAATAAATTGATAATTACTATATCACATTTGACTTTATAACATTGCTTTTAATTTATTTTCGGGCCGGACTTGGACCTAAAATAAAAATGTACCATACTCGTGCTTAAAAATTGATTAAACTTTTGGCCCAGGCTCGGGTCGAAAAAAATTAAATCTGCAAGGGCTCTAATCGGTAACCATTAATTTTCTTTCACTATGTGTATTTTTTTCCTGGTTTTTAAAAAAATAAATTATATTTTTATATAAATTACATATAACATATAACATATTTATACTTTATAAACATTTTTTTATAAACGTATATAAATAATGAAGGTGTTTTGTGTAATCGCGCTAACATGCAATATGACACCAAAAAAATTATAGGTCTTCAATCTTTGAACGCAGGAAATAAATGGAAAAGCTTATTGTCGAATGATAGAGGAATAAAAAATAAAGATGAATATTCTTTAAATTATCCACTTATGGTAGAAAAGATTAAAAAACCTTTTTGTAATTCTTTTGCTGGTTGCAAAAATATATGATATTCGCTTATGATCGTCTCTGCCTTATTTAAAATTATTTTAAAAAGAATGATTGCATACTTATATCGAATTATTATATAATTAAATTTGGCAGACTGACCAATTTATCTATTTAATGCTTTATATACACCCATTTCTGTGATTAACAATATATAAATAAAAAAATGTTATAGTATGTATATTTACTATTATATCGAGGGATCTAATTACCTATAGAGTATAAATAGCTCTATAACATTTCCAAAGATTCCAGAAATTTAAAACGATAAAAGCAAGAAACAATAGAACCAAAAAAACTCAAATAGTGGGGAAACTTTATAATATGAAGGTTATAGGTGTATAAAGTTAATTTATTTCTAAATTAATTATCTTAAATAATTTGAACATTATTGAAAATAGTATATATATAATGTGTATTCAATTTAATTGTTAACAAATTCATTTAAAATTTATCAGTCTACTCATAATATAATTAGATTTTTTTTCACAGTAGAAAACCGATAAGATTAAATAAAAAATGATAAAGTATATCATGTCTTTCTTGAAATTTTTCTGCGAAATATCTTACCGAACATGTATTTTCGATGAATGTATATATAATGAATTGAACTTGAATATAATCCCATTAATGGTCTGGTAAAAGGCAGCATATTGATGAAGAGAATATTGTAATTTAGGGAGTATTTAAGTATATTATAAATGTGTGATGGCTAAGTATTTTAGTCTCAAGAATTATCTGTAAAAATATAAGATCTGATGGATCTTGTAAAATCAGGAACCCCTAAACTCCTAAACTACTAAGGCGAATTACCCCCTAAAACTAATCCCCTTCTCAATGACGTATCAAGATTTCATCTTACTTAAATCATATCTACCCCAATTTCATAAATCACAATATATGTGCTTAAATTTTTTTTACACAATAACTCAAACAAATTATTTTTAAAATTTATTCAATTATTTAATTTTATAAATATTTTAAATTAAATAGATTTTATCAGTGGCGTAGCCAAGATTGATTCATAAAGTTTTTAAAATAATTTCGAGCCGGGTCGGGCTTAAAAAATTAGGTCCTATATAGATCACTTCTTATTGCAAATGCAATATTTTTATTTAAAAAAAAATAGTATAATATATAAATATTATGACTAAGAATTCATTATAATTACGTTTTGATTATAAAAATTTTACAACTAAGAACATATTATAATCATATAACAATTTTATGATTTGAATTTATAAAGAGAGGTCTACTTTTCTCTGAGATTTGGCTAATTTATCTAAAAGCAAATTTTTATCTCCTTATAAATATTTAATATTACGAATCCATTGGTGCTATTTCTTAAATAGGCTTCACCTTTTCATATTTGAAGACCTTTCATTAGTGCAGGTGCTAATCGGTAAGGTAACTAAAATAAAAAGCAATGTTTTGATATTAGGCAGAGAATCTAAAGTGCAATTACACATGGAAAGGGCCTCCAAAGCATTTTTTGGTCTCAAAGAGTACTCTATTCTGTCAAAATTTGTATACCAAAATTTGATATCGCAAAGTAACTTATCATACGATCATGATAATTCATCAGAATAAAACTCTGAGATTTTCTCAATATCCTCTCGCGTTTCAAGTGTATTCAGACTCATCCGGCAAAATAAAAGCTGTTTAAAATAAAATTGTGACTAATATATCTTTCCTTTAATTGAAATAAAGATGTATCAATAAGGGGAATAAAAATATTTATTTTTTAAAATCCCCAATCGTAGATTCATCAATATTTAAGCGATTGAACTATCTAGAAACTACTCTAGGTTTAAAATTCAAACATACTAGCGATCACCTTTACTTTCTCCTTATATTTACCAAATTAAATGATTTTTCTTTTATTTAAAATTTATAAAAAATTAATTAAAATTTTAAAACTATCTAATTAAGTTTAACAATATATATTTTATTATTAAATTTATAAATATCTAATTTAACTATGCCAGAAAAAATTTACAATATATTTTTAATGTTATTTAATATTCTACATATAATTTTTAATATATATGTCGTAATTTTTAAAGGGATCAGAACTATCCGGGATCATCACGGGTTTTAAAGGGATTCCTTTAAGAATTCAATTTTTTAATGGATAAAGAACTATACGCTATTATCACGTTTGAACCATGATATAGAAAAATCTTAATTTAAGACGCGTTTTACGCGTGTTTGGCTGTATTTTTTAAAAATTAATTGTTAATTTTCAATGGTGTTTATTTTTGGCCTTATGAAATTAGATATGTCTAATATAGGGTATCAATCGATAGCTAATCAAAAGATCTATTCAACTGGAGGTCAATCTCTCCCCTTTAATGGGCGAGTCTAGGTCTGGGGGTCAGGAATATTTTTATCAAAATAAAATATCGATATGGGTATAAAATAAAAGCTAATTTAAATATCTTTAGATTGAAAGTATTCATTTTTTTTCTTGGTGGGTATGACTTGGTCTGGAGGGTGGATGAAAGTGGCGGGGGGGGGGCTGTAAAAAATGATTTTTTAGATATGGATATCAAATAAAAGTCATAAAATATTTTTTTATTGTAATAATAATAATCACTCAGAGAGAGCGGGTCCGAATCATATTCTTTCGGAGAGAGAAATATAAAATTGGCAACACAATATTATGGAAAGATAAATACTACAAACTCAATAGGCAATAGCATCGAAAATATTTTAGCTAACTGTCATCGTTTATTGCATATTTAATAAATAGAGATAAGCAAGATGTTTACAAAAATAAAATTAAAAAAGTAATATTTTCCATTGGGGATCACGTACTGATTCCAATAAATAAAAATGATAGATCAAATCTATGCCCCAAATATATTGAAGCCGAAATTATCTAAATGGAGGGCTAGAAATTATGGGTGGAACTAATTTGGGAAAAATCGATTCCCCATTTTTATAAACGAACGTTCATAAATCAATAAAATCTACCAATTTGACCATTCCTAATAAGACCATCTCCATAATAAAAGCATCAAGAAGTGCATCTTCTTATGGTAATTGTAAATCAATTTGCAATTGCCAAAAATGTTGCAACAATAAGAGATGCCAATGTTTTATAAATGGTATTAATTGTTCCACAAAATGTCACATAAATATTAACTGTGCAAATAATAAATAATTGTTCAAAATTATATTTTAAATTTCAATTATCAAAATCAATATGTGTTGATTATATCGCTTGAAAAAAATATAATAATATAAATAATTTGCTTATAAAGTAGTGTAATAATTTATAACTGCAATAAGAAAAATTTATAATATCATTTTAAAATTTGTGAATAGATGGTTTCAAATATAGCCGAAATTTTGAGATTAAAAATATTATAAATTAGATTAAGTTGCTAGCGAATAATTTTATCATTAGACTACAATGAGTTTTTAAAAACCTATGACTATGCTCATAATGATATTTAATATCGAAGTCTAAATATTTTGTATTTAACTTTTATTTAATACCCATGTTTATGTTTTGCCCTAGCCTGATAAAATTAATATAATCAAAAGATTTTTTAATTTTATTTGATATCCATATAAATTTTTATTTTTACCCCCCCCCCCCCCCTTTTCCAGATCAAGTCCTACCCTTTGAGTAAATACTTTCAGTCTAAAGATATTTAAAATACCTTTTATTTGATTCCTAAATTAATATTTTGTGTTTATATAAATATTCCTGACCATCTAAGATCTCCCGCCTACTTAGAGTATAATTATTACAATAAAGAGATATTAAAATTAGCTATTATTTGATACCCATATCGATATTTAATTTTGATAAAAATATTACTGACTCCCCAGACCTAGACTCGCCCATTAAGTGGGAGAGATTGATATCCAGTTGAATAGATCTTTTGATTAGCTATCGATTGATACCCTTTATTAGACTATCTAATTTCATAAGGCCAAAAAAAACAATATTGAAAATTATTAAATAACAATAAAATTAAAAAGAAATAATACGAAACTAAACGCGCGTAAAACGCTTTTTAAAATAAAATTCCTTTTTATCATGATTAAAACGTGATAATACCGTTTTATCATTCCTTAACTTAAAACCCTAATTTTCTAGTTATCCTTTTAAAACCAGTGATGATCCTGGATAGTTTCGATCCCTTTAAAAATTACGACATATATATTTAAACCATGTTATATAAAATTGAAAATTCTTATTTGTTTTTTTTAATTATATTTCATTTTGATATCGTATATATTATTTTATTTATAAATCGAAACCGATATTTAAATAAAATTATTCGCAGTTAGAATTTTTTTTTTATAAATTAAAAATTTTTTTTTTCGGAGATTATGAGGGGGGTTTCAACCCTCACCACCCTTGTCTACGCCACTGGATTTTATACTTACACACTAAAATTAGAAATAAATAATAACCAATCAGATCTGCAGACCAGGTCCAGTTCATAGGATGTGATTATAGAAATCCGGGCCAGATTGAAAAATCTAAAAATTACCAGATTATATCTATTAATCAGTTGGAAAATGATATAAAGGATAGTCTAAAATTCATTTGGTACTCATATTTTCAATTTTCCTTAATAAAAAATTGCAAAATATAGCTAAAATTATTTTCAATAATTTATTTTATTTAATTTAGAGAGGATGGTAAAATGATGAGAAATAAAAAAATCACGACCGATTTTTGCAGATATCTAATGTATAAATTTTAAACCACAGATATGTAAACGATGGGTAAAAAATTTTTAAAATCAGTGGGTAGGCGCGAGGAGGTTTAAAAAATTTTAAAATTGGCAAAAGGGCTTTTCGGTTATAACCCGATCACTGCTGACCTCCAATAGATATTGATCGTAAAAATCATTTATATTTATAAGTAATAAAGTTTTAAACACAAATTTATGTTATTCAAGTATTTAAATTCTTAAACTACAATATTTTCATAAGCCACGGTACAAAGAGACCTTCTTAAGCATATTCTAGCTAACTTCAAGAAAGTTGTGGGTAAATAATCTGAAGACCTTTTAATTCTCAAATATTTGGGCAAGACTCGGACCGAGAACGCTTCGATTGCTGTTCCAAGAAATAAAGAATTGAAGGTGACAAT